GTCAGGTCCACGAGGTCAGCGAGGCTGGTCCGCGGGATGAAAAGATATAAAGCTGGTTTTGAGTTCAAATCTTGTAACGTAAAAGTCAAAGGGAGTAATTAGAGTTGAATGAGATTGTAAATAGAGAACGCGATTCTCGTATTGTGTAATAAGTATATATACGAAATGAGTCTAGAGAGAAAGAAGATTTTGAACTCTCTAGCAATATACTCAATAAACTTGTTTCTTTCTTACTTAGCCATTTTTACGTTTCATTTACATTCTGTCAAATAGTTCATCTCGCGATCTAGGAATTCCGATAACTTGTTCTTCCTAGATCAATAAATATCATCCAGTGATCTCGCTCCGATTACTTTTCGTCTCCAATTTTCTATCTTTAGGTGTGACCTTGATCGTACCAGATCTAGGACTCCCATACGAATAAATGAAGACGTTTTCATTATGGGACAATTGCAAAATGTTATTTTTGGGTTGTCCATTTGCAAAAATGCTACATGGGTTGTCCATTTACAAAAAATACCGCTAATTATGGATTTTTTTAAAAATGGCATTTCTTAAAACTTTTCTTTTACTATAAGATAGACCCTACAGACCAAGTTTATTGGCAGCTCGTCTTGAATCTTGTTTGTTCGCGAATACGAGAACACATGCATCTTTTAGTTCATTCTGTGCATTTTAACCAAACCACAAAGTTGTAAGGATAAAAGAGAGGAGAGAATGAGTAACACTTGAAAAAGCATTTTCATGTGATTGTTACATTGGTTAGTATACGATGCAGCTCATTACGAGCTTCTGATATCCTTGCACTGTCACTGCTATCCACCACAAAAATGAGCCCTTGCGCGTTCTGAATATAGAGTCTCCAATACTTTGCGAATCTATTCAAAAATCAGACCAATAAAATTATTAAGATCCCATAAGAATAGCAAGACAGGTCGAGCCTTGAACGGAAAAAAGCAATAGAAATCTGTGTTTTATACGCTTGTATATAGGTAAAAAGTAGACTGANAAATGTGATAATACTAAAATCGTTNAGAGAGATTAGTGCAAGAAGAAATCGACATGGAATTTACCTTCTCTTGTCCTCCTATATAGTGAAGACCACCAAAACCTCCTCGTTGTTTGAGTGATCTTATCTACTAACCTGCTCCAAAGAAGTATATGGCAAGAGAAAATATGACGTGGCATAGGTTGAGATAGTAGTGACTACAGCTTTCAATAACACTTCCAAAGAAGTTTAGAGTACCAATTCTTCTTCATCTTATGTTGGATCTTTTGTGCTAAATAAAAAAAAAAATCATATCTATTTTTATCTATATGCTCAAGTAAACCTGTTTAATTGTGTTTTGTAGGGTAAAAGACACATTTGCGCTAAAAAAAAAAAATTTTAGGAGACACATCTTTGCAAAAAAATATAAGTTAGAGATAATTATATTGAGGTAGCGTATGTTTTTAGTTTCAAAAGATAGTGCCCTGATTTTTTTTTTAATGTTTTCTGTGGTTTATTTTTAGAGAATTTTGCATCTCATATACAAGGATTATAGATTAATTGGTTTTCTATACATACACTGTTGGAAGAATCCAAAGCAATTTTTTCTACCGATGTTACCCCTATTAAAATTGATTACGCTAACGAGTAGTGTGTTTGTGTCAGGAAAAAAAAATCTTACAGGATCTCTACACATATCGATTCTATACGTACAGACATCAAACCTATAGATACATATTTAATTTTTTGAAAAACGTAGGGATTAATAATGGCTATAGGCGTCGTTGGCTTTTGATGTTACCAATTTCTAAAGCCAGAGAGAGAACACTTTACCAATTTTACTATATCTAGGAGGGTTCGTAGACAAAATTGGTGATGTCGCCGTGAGAGCTGCCGTCGTTGCCTTCCTGTTCATCACTAGATATTTCTTACGTTTGATGATAAAGTGAATGAGGAAGAACGAGAAAATGAAACAATGGAGAAACCAAGAAAAAAACTAATAACATCGTTTTAATGGTAGTGTATGTTGCAATTTTTTTAGTTAACCAATTATTTAAAAGTAAGTATGAGTTATTGTTCTCTTGCTACAGATTTTGTCGAAAAAACTTCCTCCTTTACCGATCCAGATGTTCGCTGCTGGACACAAAACCAAAGATAAGTTCATCACCATTAATGGTGATGACGACCAATGGTGGTGATGATTAAAGATGGTAATGAGCGATGGAGGTGATGGAAAGTAAACAATATACATACAATTTTTATGTCGACAACAATGATCAGCCGCGAATCCACAATGTTTTTCCGATTTTCCAACCTAATCGCTTCTGCAACTCCACAATGAGTCGACTCAGCGAGTTAACTCGGAGAATTGGTTTGAGTGAACTCAACNAGTTAACTCGGTGAGTTGATTTGTGTGGACTCAATAAGTTAACCAATTTGTTATTAGCTGTTACACTTGTTAGATGTTTAACATCGAGATTTGCGAGAATGTTGACTGTTTTCAATCATTAAACATTTATTAACATATTACTGTCAACTAAAATGTATCTGCCATTATATATTTTAAATATCTATCAATGAATTAAAAAGATAATTCGGAATACAAAAATAGTCATACTAATGTACAACACGACAATTCTTT